ATGGACAGAGTAGACAGGTGGGCTGCAGTACATGGGGTCACAAAGAGTCGGGCACGACTGAATGACTAACACTTACTTACTTATGTAACTAATATAAAAATGACTAATGAGATTATTTTAACTTTTTGTCATACTAGATCTTCAAAAGCTGCTGTATATTTTATACTTATTGCATATCTGAGTTTAAGCGAGCCACACTTCAAGTGCTCGATAGCCACATGCAGCCAATGGCTATCTACTGGACAGCACAATCTGAAATTAGTAACTGTTCAAGGCACTGAAAGATTTTGGCTCAGTGGAAGATCAGTTTCTATGATCAAAGCCACCTAAAAATGCAACAAGCAGACTTATAAAAGGGTGAGAGTCCAATCTCTGGAGGGGCCTGGGTGATATCTTTTTTATTAACTTTTTATTTTATATTGGACAATAATCGATTAACAATGTTATGTTAGTTTCAGGTGTACACTGAAGTGATTCAGGTATCTATTCTTTCCAAATTCTTTTCCCATATAGGTTGTTACATAATACTGAGCAGAGTTCCCCATGTCCTAGAGCAGGTCCTTTTTGTTTACCCATTTTATAGCAGTGTGCACAAGTCCATCCCAAACTCCCTAACTACCCTTCCTCCCACCCATCCCCATCTGGCCACCATAAGTGCCTTCTCTAAGTCTGTGAGTCCATGTCCGTTTCTGTAAGTCCATTTGCATCATTTGTTTTCAGAGTCCGCATATAAGCGATATAGGATATTCCTCTTTGTCTGATCTGAGGGGTTTGTCTTGCCAAGGAGACCACTGTACTTAGTGCTTCCTCTGCGCCTGACACTAAGATAAGGTGGCAATTCTGCAAAAACTAAGTCACTTAATCCTCTCAACTCATGGAGGCTGCTACTCTTACCTTCCCCATTCACAGATGAGAAAACAAAAGCATGTATTCCTTTTGTTTTCTCATCTGTGAATGGGGAAGGTAAGAGTAGCAGCCTCCATGAGAAAAAAAAAAAAAGATACACTATGGTTGTGATAAAAAATAAATAAATAAATAAATAAAAATAAAAAAATAAAGAAAGCTGACCACCAAAAAAAAAAAAAAAAGAAAGAAAACAAAAGCACAGGGTGGTTACGAAACTACCCAAGGTCACAGAGCAAATCAGTGACAGAGCTGGGATTCAGACTTGGACAAGTTGGTCCAAGCTCACAGTCCTAGCCACTGAACTCTGCTGTTCTCCATGTGCTTATTTTTCAAATATAAGACACAATCATAAGGCAGCATTGTTTTTAGCTATTTTTCTCCTAATCTAGGTCAGTTATTTTTCAGGCCTTGCGGGAGGTGGGAAAGGCACAGGAGATGGGACTCTAGTAATCCTATCGATCCCCTCAGCAAACAGAGCAGCTCCATCTTTTCTATTGGAGTTCCACCCAAGATTTCATTTGGGGAAAATGGAAAGGGTAAAATCCACTGATTCAAATAGATTGTAACCGTATTATCAGAATCCTAATTTTCTGAGTCTCCTGTATCTCTCAAGTCTCCTCCTTAATAAAAATTCCCAGTCAGAGACTCATACCTAATTTTTTCCTGAACTTATTCAAAAGAATTAAATTTCTTTTTCTTAAAGGGTTCATTTTATTTCCTCTTGCCAGGTTCTTATTATGTCTACCTAATTGGTACCTCTGTGAGAAGGGAAAGGCAACCCACCCCAGTGTTCTTGCCTGGAGACATCCATGGACAGAGAGGAGCCTGGCGGGCCATAGTCCATGGGGTCACAAAGAGTCGGACACGACTGAGTGACTGACGCTTACACTTACTTACTTCCTCCGGCCACCCCCATCCCCATCATTTTCCTGCCATTTGGTTCTCTTCTTACAATGCAAGGTGACTGTGCCATGCTTCACCTTGGAATCTTTTGATGGCTTTCTATTTCAAGGCAGTGTTTTTATTCCCCAAAGGATTCAAAGAGTATTTATTAGAAGGCTTAAATAACTGAAACATTGAGCTCGACACATTTTTTTTTTTTTAACCTCAGCACTTATGAGAGTGTTTCTCAAAGCATCTTACCATGGCCCCTTTTTCTGCTGCTACACATCCCTGGGAATTAGAACAGTGGAGTCAGCCTACCTGGACCATAAACGTGGACAGCAAGAGTAGCCACTTGGCAGATTTGTAAGAAGCATTAAATGAGCTGATCGGCAAAAGGCGCTCAGCATAGCACGTGGTACATTAAAAGGTGGTGGTTATTTTAATTATTTTTGTGACACGTTTTAGGAACAACGTCCTATGGGATTTATTAAGAGTTAAAAGTACTTAGATACATCAAACCCTTCAAAAGTGGTCCCCATCTACCTACCCACACTAACCCTTCCTCCCCTCTATAACCCCTACACACACACACACACACACACACACACACGCACGCACGCACGCACACAGATCAGTACAAACTGCCCTCTGCCCTTCCCTGAAAATTCCATGTCCTTTCCTGTTTCTATACCTTGGCACAGGATGTTCTCTTTGCTTTGTTTCTTGTTTTTCCTATTCTCCCAGCTCTGGGGTTTTTGGAAGCAGGGACCCTGTCATATTCTGCTTCCCCAGGAGATGACTCTGCTAATCACATGAACCAGGCCTGGGAGCTGAAACGGCAGCAAAGCCATGCATTCAAAATCAGATTTAACCTTTGAAAAGTTTACCATATTAGTTCAGGGATTTTTGAGAAGAAGCCAACTGTTCTCCTGGCTTGGCCCTGCAATAAACCTCTTTTTTTTGCTCCAAACTCGGACATGTCGGCTTGACCTCACTGTGTATCAAACACACAAACCTGCATTCAGTAACAGGAGGATGAAGTCACAGAGGACACAGCCAAGCACCAGCAGAGAGACCACTGGGGCCGCTGGTGACCCGAGGTGCCTCAGGACGACCTTTCATTTTGTTGGAAGAGGAATATGTGCTTAATGCTAAAACGTGTGTCCTTTTACATTAATGCTTGAGTATATTTAAGAAATCACTGTTCATTAAATTAAAAAACAAGTTTACCATATGGACAGAGATCACTGTACATTTGTCAAAATCCACAGAACGTACAACACCAAGAGTGAACCCTCACATAAATTATGGACTTTGAGTGATATGATGTGTTACTGTGGGTTCACTGACTCTAACAAGGGGACTACCCTGGTGTGGGGTGTTGACAGTGGTGGGGAGCAGTGCGGGTGGGACAGGAGGTATATGCAACTCTGTGCTTTCCACTCAAATTTGCTATAAACCTAAAACTGCCTTAAAAAATACAACCTGTTTTGGGTGGTTTTTTTTTTTTGACCACAGCATGTAGCTTGCAGGATCTCAGTTCTCCAACCAGGGACTGAACCCGTGTCCTCTGCAATGGAAGCATGGGGTCGTAACCACTGGACTGCCAGGAAATTCCCTACAATGTTTTGGGCTTTTTGTTTTTATTTTGGGGGTGCATTGGGTCTTAGCTGTGGCATACAAACTCTTAGTTGTCACATGTGAGATCTTGGTCCTGGCCCAGGGATCAAACCTGGGCCCCCTGCATTGGGGGTGCAGTCTCAACCAATGAACCACCAGGGATTTCCCCCCGCAAAGTCTATTTTTAAGTTATCTAATACAACACCAATTGTAATTAATGTAGATCAAAATTTAAATCAAAATTTATTTTTCTAATACAAAGCTACTATCAAGTTTAGGATACACCTAAACTATAAAACATGCATGCTTTATACCAGTATACACACGTATGCTTAAATGCGTACACCCTAATGTGCTACTAATAAGGAAAAAAGAGCCACTATCAACCACCAAGGTCAGAACCTTTCCTATGTTTATCCAATTGTGTCAGTTACCAAGCTACACGTATCCTTTGGGCGGGACAGTCTCCCCCACAGGAAAAGAAAAGTCAAAGGAAGACCTGAACACCAAAACCAAAGTATAAACATGAGGACTGGTCGGAGAAACAAGTGCTCAGGTGAAGCATCCTCCAGAGGACAAGAGGCAGCCTGCAGTAGGTGCCAAGGGGACAGGAAGACCTTCCCTGACCCCAACTCCTGTGCAAATGGAAAGAGGGTGTGGATCCTGAGAGATGAGGAAAGAGATCAAATGTGATCATTTTCCAGAGGGACCACCCTGAGAACTGGGCAATGATACCCCAGGGCCCAGGACAATCCGAGGCTCTTCCTTACCCTATGGAGGGTTTGACGCTCAGGGGTCTGCCGTCATGTCAACACTGGCAACCGTTCAACCACAGTCCCTTACCTACCAGCCTACAGAGCTCTCAAGAAACAAATGCCTGAGTGGGTCTCTCTCAAAAGTCTCTTCTCCTGAATGTCTATAAGACTGCAAAACAGCAGGGCTCGCTTATTACCAAAGGGCATATTGCTCTAAGAGTCTCTTCTAAAGAAAGGTAACGTGACTGTCTGAATGGTGAATCCTGGGTTTGCTTAAAGCCCAAAGAAAACATGGGTCATGAGGAATCTTAAGAGGAACAAAACTTCCCTTTTAGAAGCTCCCACAAAAAAAGCTTCAATGGTCATGCTCACTATAAATGCTTTTTTCTTTCTTTTTTTTCTTTTACCCTCTTTGAAGAGGGGAGTATAGAAACAAACAAAAAATAAAAGCAGCTACATCCACCCTGTATGTGGGAGTTTTCTCCTCGATATGTAGCTGGAACATCAAAACCCCAGCTACCCCATTAGATTGTCTTTAAAGAGAGTAAATGACTTTGGGGAGGAGAATCTCATTACAGCCTCCTCACGGGCTGAAAACAAAGGGGAGCTGCCATACACTCACCCCTATTTCCTGCCCCCCACCGCCCCCAGCGCCGTGCAAGCTCTAGGAGGCGTCCTTGCTTCTCGCAGCATCGGAGCAGGTCCCCGCATCCACCAAAGGTGTTGCGATGGACGCCACGCTGGGGATCACAGGATGCTTGGAAGGCAGGCTGAGGCCGGCAAGCCGGGTCCCCGGGTGCACTGTGGCCTCTCCACTCACACACGCGCCCTTACCTCCCGCAGCTCCAGCCTCTGGGCCACCGCCTCCAGGCACTCCTGCCCCGTGCTCTCCACAGACAGCGTGCACTCGATGGCACTGCTGTCCAGCAGGCGGATGCGGGTGACAAAGCAGTTCTTGCTCAGGACGTTGTAGCGCCGCGTCCGGCGCAGCTTCAGGCCGAAAGGCATGGCTCTGCAGGCCTGGGGTGCTGCCCTCGTGCCCTGGCGCCCACGCCCCTGAGATGGCCTCAGCAGCTTCGTGACGGGGCACTACCACCCGCGCTCCTCCAGGTGCGGAAAAAGGCGTCCATGCCCGGCGTGGCGCTCCAGAGGGTCGCTGCAAACACAAATGCAGCAGCAAGGTTAGGGCTGGAAGGAGAGCTCCAGGCCGCACACATTCCTCCCACGTGTGCACATCCCCCTGAGGCACAGATTCAAGAGCCTGCAAACTCTGATGCTCCCAGGCGCCTTGGTGGGACCCATGCACTTGACCTTATCTTACAAGGGTGATATGACAAGATCCACTTTATGGCTAGAGACACAGATGTTCAGAGGATTAAAAGGACTCATCCAAGAACCCATGTGGCCAAGCCAGTATTCAAACCAATGTCTATGCAACTTCAATTCACATTTTTTAAGAGATCATAGTTCATTTATTAGATAGGCACAGACCAAAAAAAAAAATAGTAATACCCATCACTGAGGAAAATGCTGGGTAATATTTTTTGGTGAGACTGTAGACTGATGAAATGCCAAAAAACAAACAAAGAGTGGTTACTAATAACACATAAAACTTTAAATGTATATATCCTTTTACTCTCTGAACTTCTACTTTAAGAAATATTTTCTAGAGATACATTTGTCCAACTTTGGAAAGGATATCCACTGAAAAGTTGTTTATATGTAACACTCCAGTATTCTGCCTGGAGAATCATGGACAGAGAAGCCTGGTGGGCTATAGTCTATAGGGCTGCAAAGAGTTGGACATGACTGAAGCAACTTAGTATGTACACATAGCGTAAAATTGAAACATTTTCTCTATCAACAAAGGATTGGTTACATAAGTAGTACTATACCCACAGAGTGTAAAAATGTGTTATCACTGAAAACTGAGATAAATATATCATTTGCAAAACTGTTTGAATTAGGCTAGGTGGCTGGTGTTTTTGGTGTGGCAACCTAGGACATGGAATTAAATGGAATAAAAAAAAAGCAAGATGCTTACTGTATGCATAGATTCCAGTTGCATAAAATTAAAAATACGTAGAGAAAGACATATTCTTGTGTATACATTAAATATTTCTGAAAGGATGCACAGAAAGCTGTTGGGTGGCTGCTTCTTGGGAGAGAAATCTTTGACTTTTCTGTGCATTCTAATAAGGATTTATTCTTAATCTACTTACAGAGTATCACTTTTATAATTGAAAAAATAGGTAGCCAAAACGTGTGTTGCTAGATCACTGATGATAGAAGGAAAAGTTACCATATTAACTCTGCTTGAGTTAAAAACAGAATATTTATGACAGCGCAGGTAAAGAAAATCTCTTTCAATGTATGAAAGTTGTGTCCCACTCTACATGACCCTATAGACTGTAGCCCGCCAGGCTCCTCTGTCCATGGGATTCTCCAGGCAAGAATACTGGAGTGGGTGGCCATGTCCTTCTCCAGGGGACCTTCCCGACGCAGGAACTGAACTCAGGTCTCTTGCACAGCAGGTGGATTCTTTACCCTCTGAGCCACTGGGAAGCTCCTTCAGTGTACACACGGTATTTTAAATGATGGTTGTTTCAGGTAAAGAGAATTATGAGAGACTTTGTGGTTTAAAGGTTCCTTGGACTACTCTTGATTTTCTGTTTTTATTGTCGTGAACATGGATTTAATGATCGGGAAAAACATAGTGAATAAAAAAATATCATGTTTACTTAAGAACCAACCTTCCATAAAAACCACCCAACAGCTTGTATGGAAGTCAGTGTAACCATAAGGTTCGATAAGTCTCAGATGGGCAGCAATACTTGGAGTTCAATAAGATATTTATATCTCATTGCCCCTCTTTACCCAGCTATCAGAAAGTTTGCTTCAAGTATCATTAACTTCAAATTTCTTAAGTCTCTTCTCTATTCTTTTTTAGATAAACTTTTTATCTTATATTGGAGTATAGATGATTAACAATGTTGTGTTAGTTTCTGGTGTAAGACAAAGTGATTCAATTAAACATATACATGTATCCTTTCTCAAATTCTTTTCCTATTGAGGTTGTTACATAATACAGCCTGTCTACTCAAGAAAGGAGGAGTGAAATCTGAACTTTTTTTTTAACTTCTAAATATATTGTCTCATTTTAACCCCATTACCAGCTCTCTGGTGTTGACTTATAATCTCTATTTACAGATGGAAAAAGTGGGGTTCAATGATTTAAGCAATTCACTGACCCTGAACTTAAAATCTAATCTTGTTCCTCTTTTAACATTGTCTTTATTTTTAATATTTATACTTATTTTTTTACTGTATTTTCTTATTATTGGATGATAGAAAATGAAATGAATATGCATTTAATTATTAATTATAAATTAGTAATTAGTGATGAGTTAGTCTGCAACTTTTTTTAAGAAAAAGTGAATACATGAATTCTTTAATGTACTTAAAATCACAGCTGTATCCTTTCTTCACCAAATATTTACACAGATGTGGGGAACCACCCTATTCTCATTTTGTTCCTTTACAAAATACTTGATGCAAAAGTCCATCACCAAACTACACCAAATTTAACTCACTAATAACAAGATTTACTGACCCCCAGATGTCCTATGAATGCTAGTGATGACATTATTGCCATGGACAACACAAGAATAAAATAACAACAACAAAAGCAGCTTTACCATCGCCCTGTGCCAGCAATGCTCTCACTGGAAGGTTTCCAATGCTCTCATCTTCCAAAGAAGCCAGACATGTCCACATGGCCTCTCTGTACAACTTTCTGTTCCCCGTGAAGCACAAAGAACCATCTCCTGTTCATATGATCGTTCTGTTAATTTGACTCCCTAAGTCAGGCAGCCTTTAAGCCCGTTCCACACAGAATCACCTCTGAGCCCCCTAACACTTGGATAGACAAACAGGAATAGCTACTTGCAGGAATTCTTGAATTAATAATTCTAATGGCTTTAATGTTTAGAAATCACTCCTTGTCAGAAATCACCCCAGGCCTCAAGCCAGGAGGTTGTCAGGACACAACCCTACAACACAGCCAAACACACTCCCGAGACTCCCTGGGCCAGCCTCTGATGCCTGCCCTCGGCACATTCCTTAGCGTGACAGGTACATGTTTTATGAAGGCTTAAAATACATATGCGAGAGACTTGGGCTTGGTAAAATAGACGAACATTTCTAAATCACTTTATGTTGGCAGAGTGTCGTGTTTACCTCCAAGGTAGGCCAACCTGATGATCTCCTGATATCGGCAGAAAAAAACATGGAGAGACCCACCCAAAAAAGGTAAAAAAAAAAAAAAGAATATCAGAATTCAACTATGGAGTCCTTAAAGAGTTTACTCCTCTCACATTTCCATGAACTTGCTAAAACACAGGGCAGAGGACATCAAGACTCAATTCCTATATTGAAAAACTAGAGAGCCTCAGAGAGAGGAAAATATTTGCTCTGTGGGCACAAGCCACATTTCTCATCCTGGGCTGGGCACTTTACCTTTGGGTGCGTCACTTTGAACACCTACGAAGGAATGCGGCTGGCTTGGTGCACATTTATCCCAGCCACTGCTAAACACAGTCCCTGCTTTTAAATATATATTTGACAGGACACAATCCATAACACAGCGAGATAAAAAGTACACCGTACAACAAAGTGCACAGACACACACTGTTTTTATAATGAACAAAAACACACAAATAAACAGGAAAAAAGTAAGTTCACCAAAATGACTGTTATCTCAGGGCCCCATGGTGACGGTATCAAGCAGAAATCTCATTTTATATTTCATATATTGTACAATCATCCATCAGTCTCTGCAGGAAATTGGTTCTAGGACCTCAACAGGTAGCACAGTGTTTGCAAAGAACCTATCTTACACTTTAATTCATCTCTAGATTACTTACAATACCTAATACAATATAAATGCTATGGAAAGAGCTGGCCAGCCTGGCAAACTCAAGTTTTGCTTTTTGGAACTTTCTGGAACTTCCCTTTTCAAAAATATTTCTGATCTGAAGTTGGTTGAACCCACATATGTGGATCTGTGGCTACAAAGGGCCAACTGTATTTCTCAATTGTTTTAACATTTTACAACTGCCTTATTTTTATAACTAAAGATTTTGTAACTAAAGATTTTTTTTTAATACACTACAGAAAATGATATGTCAGGTGCAACATCTGACAATACATCTCCTAGAAAATACCTATTTTAAGTTTTAAATAACTTTTGAAATCTTCAGTTTGCCAGACACTTGCCAGGTAAACTGTCAACAAAAAAGCTTAAAAGAAAACTGGTATGGTTCCTCTGAAAGTCAATGTCATGAAAAAAAAATTGAACAGGAAGGATTGGAGGCAGACTGCTCCAGAGTAAGAGAAATTCTGGAGTTATTAAAACAAAATGCAATGTGTGACCTTCATAAAACCGAGCTTCGGAAATAAAATAGTGATAAAACACACAAGACAGGGAAATCTGAAACAGGGAGTAGAAATGAGATGATATGAATGTTTTATGGTTTTCTTCTTTTTCAACAGTGGAATTGTGGTTATGTTCATTCCAGATTGCTCAGTGGTAAAAAACCTGCCTGCAATGCAGGAGACACGGGTTCAATTCCTGGGTCAGGAAGATCCCCTGGAGAAGGAAATGGCAACCCACTCCAGTATTCTTGCCTGGGAAATCTCATGGGCAGAAGAGCCTGGCGGGGCCTGTGGGGTCACAAAGAGTCGGACATAACTAAGTGACTAAACAACAGCAACAACATTATACATTTAGGTGTAAAAAGTCACTCACTTAACAGGAGAGGGAATTCCAAATGAGTTGAGCAGTTCTAAGATTCAAAGTTTAATCTCAGGGAACAGGACACACTCAAACCTTGCTAGGAGAACTGGATTCATCCAGAGAGGCCTAGACAGAGTGTCAATTATTTATCCTCAGGTTACTCATCCACAAAGATAACCTCAGACTGTGCTCAGTCGCTCAGTCATGTCCG